ACTAAGAGCCTTTCTTTAAAGGTGCTATTAATATTTTCATTACAAAGCCATTCCTATTTAGAAAAAAGACCAGGCTAGTTCTACTTTTGCCAAGCCTTTTTGCCATACTTAATAAGATGAGATAAGAATAAATAAAACTTTGCTTTGATGACCATGATCACATGTACATGAATATTTTATTTAAGCCCAGTTACTTTATAAGAGTAATAAGTTTGAAGGCATTTATTCTGCTCACAAAAATTATTTTCTGTGGGGGTAAGAATCTATTTTGTATTTTAGGCCAAAGTGCCAATCACATTGACATCTGTTGTTTTTAATAAACTTATATAGCGACTACTAGGTTATACCTACATGGGTTGTAGAGAACACTGTCCCAAGGGTCATAAGGTAAAGGGTCCAAGCACATCGACTCCTATCATTTACCAACTGTATATTTTCTAAGGATTGCCTACATATATACCCCCTATATTATCTACCACTTAAGCTGCTAATAAGATTAAAATAGAAATTCTTTTTTTATAAATGATATTAAAAGTGTCAATATAATAATGTTTTTTCAAGTTTTAGAACAATGCACCCTAATTTTACATTTGATTTATTTTTATCTCTCATTGTAGAAAGAGGCCTTTTTTTGTTCTTATGTACTATGGTGTTGAACTACTAAAGGCAAATTGGCTGTCCACATTCCAAGACAAAGAGTGCCTAATCACAAGCAAGGAAAAGAAAAAAAATCTGTCCTGCTTGAAGATGATTTGATGATAGAAGTCATCAGAACTTCACCTCATTCACTAAGCATAGGGAAAATCCCTTGCAAAGTGAAAATGTCTACTCCATTAGTAAGTCAACCACTAAATGGTCCATCATTATAAGCAGCACTGTGCAAACCAAAAACACTCAACTTTTATATGTGCCCTGAGTGTCAGAAGACCACTTTTCTTGAACCCCAGTTGTTGACATGAAAAATATGGTATTGTGCATTAGCATCTAATTTATCCAGGGGACATATGAAGATCTTTCTACAGAACAGCAATGACCTACATGGCAATTTTCCCTGTAAATAAAATGAAGTGCTAATGAGATGCATAACTAATGGTCATTTCTCCATGCCTCTTACAATGGTTATGTGTGGCTGTCTTAATTTGATTTCTTCCTTCTGTGTCCTCCCTCTCTCTGTGTTGTATCTCATGACTGTTCTGGATTGTCACTTGCGGTAGGTTTTTTTTTTTCCTGTTTGGATAAACCATAGACAGTGAAAACATTTTGTGATTAGTTGTCTTGACAGCTGGGGCTTCTCAATTGAGATTAATCCACTTCTTAACACTGCTTAATACATCAAGAGGCTGAACTAAATTGATTTAATTCAAACAGAGTTATCCCCACAAATGCAAACAGAATTGCATTAGAAGGCTAAAATTGTGTAATTGCTGCAAATAATTAACATTTATGATATAAAAATTACAAATGAATCCTGTAGTCCATGTTACATTCCTATTATTATTTGAACTAAGACCCGTTATTTATATTACTTGATAAAATTACAACAGGCTAAGGCCAGCTTTTAACAGATAGATAGATACATGTATACATACATATATACATGTTATTTTCTAATACATGGTTAGGGTATACAAAAAACTATTTTAAAAACAAAACATTTCTGCATGATAGCTAGTTGTCAATTTCCCAAACAAAGTACTCAGTATATATTTTGTAAAAAATACACACTGTAAATAGAGGAATGGGGCAATACCATGGTTATCATACATTTTGACAAATAAAGCTAAATCCTACATTTAAAGTGACATTAGACTCAGGAGGTACATCTTAAAAATGCATCCACGTACCTTAACTATTAACAAAAATGTATCTAATTTGTGTATCACTCGGCCGTAGATCCTCAAATCATTTCTGAATTCATGCTGACCCTGTTCTTTCTTCCGCAGGGTGGCTACTTTTGTTCCCCATGGTGCCTGTGTGTGTTGTAAAGTAGCAACCACTCCGAGCTCGCTCCTGTGATGGACTATAATCTCATATTTCGCTAGATAATTTGTATTGAAGTTATAGTCTATCACAGGAGTGAGCTTGGAGAAGTGTCTACTTTACAACACACACACAAGGACCATGGGCAACAAAGGTAGCCACCATCCAGAAGGAAGGACAGGGTCAGCATGAATTCAGAGATGATATTAGGATCCACAGCTGAGTGATCTACAAATAAACTACATTTTGTTAATAGTTAAGGTACTTGAATGCATTTTTAAGATTTAACTCCTGAGTTTAGTATCACTTGAAGAATCTCCTATGCTCTTCTGCAATTTATTTTTGGTTGACATGCTATATACATGCTCCAAAGTAATAGACTTTGAAGTTCTGCACTCCATTTCACCACCTTCTATCACCACAGTGTGGCAGCTGCTACAAAACACTGCATATCCAAAACTTGCATGTATAGGAATGACATTTCCTATAAAAGTGTATACCTGCCTCACAGATGTGCAATGTACTCTCTTAACTGTGTCATAAATCATATGTCATATGGATTTGATAAACAGTATGGAACTTTAGATCCAAACACTGGAAATAAGGATTATACAGTAATAGACATACACATTTTCCTAGCTTCAAGAAAGTTTAGAGGCATGAAGTAACTTTTTACCTATAGCAATCAGTTAATGTGTCCACTTTAGAAACATTTACTATGAGACCCAATCTGTCTGATTTCACGTACAGCCAACAACAACCTTTGACACAATTATAAAAAAGCTAATATAGCTTTTTTTTCAGAAACACATGCACATGAAATGATTAATGGATATATTCCATGCAAGAGTGCAAACCTAACATCCAATTTAAATCCACTTTACTGAAACAAGCATAGGAACAATGGCAACCACTAAGATCAAGTTATACCTAGTAAAAGCAAAGCACACTTGAGCAGGGCAGTTTACAGAAAAACAAAACAAAGAACATTTCCAGTACACTTACCAGCTAGCCTGCAAGCTAGTTTACAGAACACTTGTCACAGAACAATACAATACAAAAAAACTCTAACACAATTACCAGCTCATCAGCACAAAAAATAAGTCCAAATTATTTTAACAATTGGCAATAAACATATGTTTTTGTTGAGTAGATTTGCAAACATACATAAAACCACACTGCCGCACCATGCCACCTCTGCAAAGTGCGGTCCTTAACTCCAGTCTAACAGAGCTCCCATCTTGGGATATACTAGAAGCCCATACTCCACACTGCAAAGAAAAAATGGCAACCTCTCAGATCAATTTATGCAGGAAAGTTGACAGAACAATGCAATGCCAGTATTATTTACTAAAAATGGATCGGTAGAAAATGTATTGGTATCCATTTTATTCCTTGCACTTTTTAATGAATAAACCAGTAATCTTTTTCTTTGGGTTATCATAGGACAGTGTTAAATAACTGCATACCTCTTCAAAAGCTTTTATGCTGTATCATAACATAAAAGATCTTTGAAATGCTATTGGTGGCTTAGATAAAGATAGGAAAACAGCTTTGTGGACTATTCACTAAAACCTCTGTTGGGGCCAAATGGTTTATGAGTGATTTGAATTCTCCGTGCTGTAAAACTGCTTTTGCCCAATGATTTAAACATGGCAATAAAAAAAAGCATTTAACATATTGGCAATTATAGCATGGTGTTCTGCCAGTTATATTCCTTAGTTAACATTTATCATGAACTTTTTTGTTGTTGTTGTTTCATTTGCTGAATAGCTTCTTGGCAAATATCTTTAGTTCTGAAGCCAAATCATTTTGAGCATTCCAGCAAAAATATTATGCTAAAATGTACTCCTCTTATCAGGCAATCAATAGAATAGATTTAATACACTGTGTTTTATGCAAATGGTTGACTTCATGCTCATTATGTAGATTTGCCAAAGCCTTAGATAAAAGTTAGGTCTTTTTGGACAAGTCTGTGAACCACATAAATATGAATCAGACTGTGCTCACTAAACCTGCGGTCACCAATCACTTTATTTCTGACCCTCACAGAAAAGATCAGAATTGTAAACAGCAAAGTATGCACTGCTGCACCAGTGTTTGTGCACAGTCCACATGTTTAGGGTAAGAATTGACTTGGGAAATAAAGCAATACTTTGATAGGGGAAAGGGTATTTTTAAAGGAACAAGGAATTATTTAAAACCATTTTATGATTTAATATCAGACAACAACTTTACCCATCCCTTGTGTAAATAATAGGATGTTTGTGCTCATGGTTGGAAAAGTGTACATATATAAAACTATGAAGGTAAAAACATTCAGATTATAGAGATTCTAATGACTTTCAATGTGGAGGAACATTCATTTTCTAAATGTTTTTAGAATGCAGCAAGAACACATAAGCCTCCCGTTACTAGTTAAAATTGTAAAACAAAATCTCCTGTTAATGAAATTGCAAACTGACTGCTTAATTACTAAAACATACAATGCCTGACTTATTTACTGAATTATTATCATTGTACAATTAATTTAGATCAGCCTGGCTTTACCGAAAAAAAATTATATTTAGCATAGACAAACCTTTATTCCATAAGCTTCCATTCTATAAATTAGCATGTTGTATTCTTGAACTCCAAATGTACCCATGGTTGGCACTTTCATAATGACAAATATCATACAGACACGAGAAGCTGTCAGCTAAATTTTTTGAATGAGACCTGATCTATTGCATGCAGTAATGTAAAAAAAATTGGTATGTTACTTTGTAATGGTGATTTTTCTTGTCATACCTTTTTCAGCATGTTCACAAAGCTTTAATAAAGTATGTTTCAATTTCTTCTACTTACCAAACTATAAAATACATTCTTAGACATATTTTTATCTGCCTGCTTTTTTTTCTAAAAAAAAAATTATTTTGCTGCTTGCTGAGCATAAATAGTATTTGAATGGAAAGGTACCACAAAAATGAGGATTTTTTATTTTTTTAAGAAGTTCAGTAATGCCACGTATTTTCTTGCAGGCTTTGAAGGATGATGATGATGATGATGATGATGCTGAGACAGGTTTAACTGATGGAGAAGACAAGGAGAAACCCAAAGAAGAAGAAAAGCTTGGGAAACTTCAGTATTCTTTGGACTATGATTTCCAGAATAACCAGGTAAGACCACATTATATGTTCATTTAGAGGTCATTGCCTCCATGAGCTGCTGCATATAGTCAGTTTATGTTATGGTGCATATGTATCATTGTGCTATACAGCATCATCCACACAGCTCCTATGCAAAGAGCAGGGAGTCCACTCAATGACATTTATGATCTCACTCCACGCATATGATGTTTTGCTATTTTGCCACCGGCTTCTTAGCCTGTAGTACGCTGTGCCTGCCTATTAAACCTTTATTATTTCTCATATATTTTCATCTACTAGCCTACATGTTGCATATACAATTAAAATGGCATTGCCAGCACCACCAGTATTTACTAGCCTGTAATATCTGGCACCAGCCAACCCAATCCTTTGCCAAAACAATGAATCTGTTAATGGTCACATCAGGGTCTGGTCCTTATACAAAAGACCTCAGATCATCTGTTTTCACCTGACTACATAGACCCCATGTGGCTCCCTATGTACATTGCTTCCCATACCTTTGCATTGTGAGAAAAGCTTTAAAGAAAAAAAATGTGACAAGACTTGCATAAGTAATGAGCAAAAATAGCTGCCTTAATGTACACATATGAATGCAAATTATAAATACACGTTTTCTAAAAAAATTACTTCTAGTAGCAAGGTTAACTAAATCAAGCAGTATATAAGCGTATATCAGATGCTGGCACCTATCGACCCAATACTTTGTCATAACTGTTAATCCACTAAAAGTCTCATCAGGGTCTGGCCTGATGATCAGATGCAGAAACCAGGATAGATTCACTTTCAGCAAACTTTTAGATGCTAGCACCAATTTGGCCCAATCTTTTGGCATAACTGGTAATCTGCATATGTCTCATCAGGGTCTGGTCTCTCAACCAAGGATCTCAGGTGATCAGTTGTGGAAACCAGGATACATTACATTTAAGAACACTATGGGGTGGATTTGCTAAAGGCAAGTAAGCTGTATGGTTTGCAAGGGGATTTTCCATTAGCTGAGTGAATGAGGTAAAGCTCTGTTGACTTCCATCATCCAATCATATGCAAGCAAAAACACGTTTTTTTTTTCTTTTCCATGTGATTGGGTATTCTTCGCAAAATGAATATTCACCACATTCATTAAGCTAAGGGAACATTTTCTTGCAAAGGGAAAATTCCCTTGCAAAAATGCCTATTTGCCTTTAGTAAATCTACCCATATTCAGCAGATACAGCTATGCTGACATTTACTGGCCAAATCATTACATGCCACAATAAGTCCAAAATGAAATTTAACTGCACAGTACAGTGAACTTTTCTCTATACACTTTCTAGATATAAAATACAGCATTAGACTAATATCTTGTTAGATTTATATACTGGTTTAAACATTTTATCTTTAACAATGTTTCATTAGATTCACAAATGTCTTTTTCATGGTTGAGTGTGTTTGTTTCTAAATACATTTGTGAGATTATTTGAAAAAACAGGAAAAACAGCCTGTAATTTTCATTTAACATGAGTACATTTCAAATGAAGCAAATCCAGGAGCCTGCAGATCAAAGAGATCTCATCTTAATGTTCTTTGCCAATGCAGGCGCACAATTCCTCTGTTCCCTTCTATTGTGGCTGACCACTCAATACTCAGAGAATATCATTAAATCGATGGGGGACTTTATAAATCTCAAACAGCTTATTCCTGCCAAAGAATAATACATGGAAGAAATTGGTACTTAGAAACACATTTCACTTTCTCTGCAGATAAAAACAAACTTGTGAACTTTATTGAAAGAAAGCAGTTGTTCGGGTTCTTGTTGCTACAAAGTCAAATAAAAAGTCATTGAACTCCCCTACTGGGTAAAGTGTGTGTAGAACAATTGAACTGTATTTAGGAGCTCTATTGTAAATATACAGGCTTGTGCCAGCAATACAATGAAAATGTTTTCAGTGACCCTGGGATTTAAAATGGGAGATGCAATAGTATTGAATACACACATATAGCTGCAGGAAAAGGCAGGTATGCGGTATGGTTGATGGATCTCCGCAGAACGTTTGTGTGACTGAGAAGGTCTATTTATTCTCCCTATTTAAGATGCTCTGTGCTACACAATCAGTCTGCCTCCAGCATATGCTGTGTAATACAATACTAATTTTATCATTATTGCCAGTCCTGTACTTTATGTTATAGCTTTAAATACTAAATAAAGACTACAGAAGAGACCCTTTGCAATGTGAGATATGCTATGCAACATTCACATACTAAAATGCTAGAAGAAAAAAAAAAGATTGTCTGATGGCCATATCTGTCCAAATGAAGTTGGGAGGTGTGGTGTTTATAGCTTACTCTGAGAAAGTTCCAGACGCCAAGATCTTCTACTATGCAGCCAATTGTAAATACATAGGGGTCTATTTTTCATGTTTTCACCCAAGATTCTCACAACTTTCAACCAAGATTCACACATTTTTCACATAAGTTTCCATTAGAAAATGTGTGAATCTTGGTTGAAAGTTGTTTGAATCATTGATAATACAACCTATAAATTATTCTCTGTAATAATTTACAATCATAACATCTAAGAATTATATTATATTTACCCTTCAATTCTGAAAGAAGCCCTGACAACAATAACATTTATTAACTAGTACTGTAGTGAACTAGTATCTATAAAATAAGCATTTTAATGATAGTCTTGTACAAGGTGTTCTTATCAGTAAAATAACTGCTCGGACAGCATATTATTTGTTGTACCCTCTGACAATTACCTACAGTGATAAAAAATTTACCAGTTATATTACTATACATATTAAGAATATTAAACTAATATGAATGATTGCAAGGTAAATTAAATAGACTGCTGCCATGTGCAGTGACCCAGCGATTCAGGTTGTTGGAAGCCTAATTGTCATTCACCTTGCGCAGAGCATTGCATTGGGCTTCAAAGGGAGGCATGACCAAAGAACTCTGTAGGAGCATGATAGCTTATTTCAAGCAAATATTTCAGAATAGGAAGTGAATTATTTTTCCACTCCACTGGGTAAAAATCATAGACTCGTTTCTCTGCCTTTCATGTTAAGTTATAGCTATTGTTTGGGTCTAGCTCAATAGCATCAGAATAAAATAAATTACACTAAATTATGATTTGCATTTTCTACCTTGATTTATATTATTATATAGCAATTCCCTCTTTCAGATAGAACTTTGCTATTGACATCAAATATGTATACCTCCATCTAAATCCAAAAGTGATGAAAGTCACTGAACCTTAGAATCTTTGGACTTGAACTGCTAAGTGGCTGTGAATTGTATGACTTTGTGAATTACCAATACCAAAGCAAAGTGACAATAACCTGGCTTACCCTGTTAAATGTGCACATTTTTGAAGAAGTTTGCCAATCAAAGATTTCATTTGATCATTTTCACCCCGGATGTGGTCTGTCTTCTGTATTTTATTGCAAATGGGACTGGCCCAAGATAAGCTGATTGCTAGGGCAAAAAAGCAGGCTGATTTATTTACACTGAAGAGTTAATTGTGCTGCACTAGGGCATGCCTAGAAATAATCAGAGGCATCCCAGTGATGTAATTGTAGATGAGCATGCAGCATGTGACAGACAGAACTTTAGTGAAGAAATACAAACTGATCCTGCATGCATTTGTGCAGCAAATGTGAGCCTTCTTAAATCAAACAGTGGTGGCATGTCTCATTTAACATCCCCCAAAATAGGGGACTTTTAATAAGAGTGGATAAAGCCATGCTAATCATTCTTTTAACCCCTGGGCTAACTGCGTATCCAGAACTGCTGGTGTACAGCACAGATACAGCCTAATATTATGGAATCATTTATTCTAAACCACGTTTGTTGATGAATTAAAAATAATTTGTTGAAGCCGACTGCGTTTCTGCGAACTCTACATTTAGAATATATATATATATATTTTGTTCTCCTTTCAAACCATAGCTGTTCTTTCTAGTATGCAGCTCACACTGTTAAAAGCTAAATCTATTATATGGCCAGTATTGTTTAATGGACCATTATTTAAGCATGCAATGATTTACAGTATGCACTTTTTCTATGGGCTGAACCCTGAAATGTTGTTGCATTCAAAAATATACTTGCCAGGGCACATGAGGCAGACTAAGGTGCTATGCTCCAGAAACTAAATTGATATAACTGACTCACACTGAACTTACACACCAGGAGTTCAGGTCATTATTTTTCATGTGTCATAACAGTTCTGGCTGAGTGAACTGGACTTGAGATTTAAGAGCTGGATTTGAGTGAATCACACACTGGGCACGTACATGTACCTGCTACTGTGCATTTAATAGTCAGGCATTTAAATATTTCAAGTTGGTGATTCATCTGTATTAATTTTTTTATTAGAAATCTTTCAGTAAAGGAACAATTACATAAAGTGTCTGACCAATATTTCTGCTCATAGTATTAACAAATAACAATATACAGGGTAGAGTATAGAGTATATATCCCACTTTTTATAATGGTCTCTAGAAACACAAAAACAAACTGCAATATCATGGCAGTTGTCAAAAATAAGAGGCTAGCACAGCATTTCAGATTCATATTGAGAGGCGGTGAGGAAGGATTAGAACCCCTGTCAGTTGTTTAATTGCTATCTGTGTCTCCCTTTACAGATTAATGTCAATCACTGTCATCACTGTTTTGCTTGATGAAGGGGACCCTGCATCATGTTATGTGATACTGACCATGCATCAATAAAGGCGTATTGATCACCATGCTATAGTGCCAGTGACCCCTTCTTTTCTTTACAGATTATCTCTCATTCCCTGACTATTTGATTAGTGTAATATAGAATATGATGTTTGGTGAGGGAAAGGATCTTGCCAACAGTGACACAAACAGCAACAAAATGTTTTGTTAGGATGGAAAGGGCATAGAGCCTTTGTCAAGTTTGGGCTGCTTCTTGTGTTTCCATTGTGAACATATCCTCTTATTTCCTGTCTAGCAGATGGGTGTGTAATTTCCCACAGTGGGCATAGACAACATTTAAAAGTCATAATTACTTCAATACCAACCTTTACTCTATCCAAAACTGAAAACAAACGTTTGGCGTTCAAGTTAGAATTGTATTAAAAAATTATATGTTTAAAAATAGGTGTTACTTTTTTTTTACATTTTCTTTATTCATACCATTTTAGTTGATGTTTTGCCCTTTCTTCACTTCTGTTCGTTTGTGGTGGGTTCCAAGCAACAGTGCTCACATAATGACATGGTGACATGGCTCAGTTCTCTGCAGTTTTCTACTGTAAATTCAAGGCATTTTCATGATGAACATCCAGGGGCATTTTCTGCCTTCACTGGGCTCAGAGAAATTCAGTTGAAGGGGAATGGAACTGGATCATAGAGGACTCAGATAGCAGTGCTGGAACATGAAGAGGGAAAGCTGATTGTTTTTTTGGGGGGGGGGGGGGGGGGGGCTGTTTAAAAATAAATCAAACTGAAATTGAGATTAAATCACATAGGTCACAAACTGTGTTTAAGGTTTGGGAAGTAGGCTTTTCAGATGTATTCTTAGCACCAAATCATATAAGAATAAGAACGAGAATATATGTTGCTATGTATATTATAACTGAATCTGATCTTTTTTTTTGTTCTATTTTTAGCTGATGGTTGGAATAATTCAAGCTGCTGAGCTGCCCGCTTTAGATATGGGGGGTACATCTGATCCTTATGTGAAGTTGTTTCTTCTGCCAGATAAAAAGAAGAAATTTGAAACGAAGGTCCACAGAAAGACTCTCAATCCTGTTTTCAATGAACAGTTCACCTTTAAGGTATATAATTTTAGTTTTCTTACTGACTGGACTGTAAATTGAAGGAAATATCAGTGATAATATGAAACCATAGCAATGTGATCAAAGAATCAATGTTACTTCACCTTATAGAAGCCCACTTCTGACTGGTTGTTATGTACGCATTTGCCTTTGACTTTATGAGTAAGCCTAGATGTTTCCTCTTTCAAGCTAATGGACACAAGATGTGTAAGCTTAAAGTGACATTAAACCCTCAGATTTTTTAACATAAACCAATACTGTAATGTGTGCCTTACTGTAATCCATGGTTGTTTCCCTTCTCTTTGCTGCTCTTCCTTTTCAATCCTCATGTCTTCTCATGCTTGGGGAGAACTTCCCTTTTCAGCTCAGGGCCTCTTCCTGTAGTGCTGGCTCAGGTTACAAGCCTTTACAAACCTATACACAGACACCGTGTATCCATTCCTGAGACAAGGCAGTCTGCTGGAAAACAGAAGTTCTGCCCAGCATGAGAACAGATACACATTTAAAAGGAAGAGCAGCAAAGAGAAGGGAAACAACCATGGATTACAGTAAGGCACACATTACAGTATTGTTTTATGTTACAAAATCTGAGGTTGTAATGTCACTTTAAAGTGTGTATACTTTGTAAAGTTTCATTATATGACACTAACAGTGATAATAATAATATTACTCTAACAATTGTATTAAACATCCATTGTAATATGCTAGTATAAACAGTTATAGACCTCTGTTAATCTTTAAATAAGTAATGATTAAATAGGAAGTCCTCTAAGCATTATGATCATATGACATTATGGTCATATGACAATAACATGACATGTTATTTTTTTTTTTTTAATAAAGTATAACCATTGCTGTAAAATGTCTGTGGGTTTTTCCCCAAGCTACCAGCTGCAGGTACATATGTTGATTTCTTCACCAGTGCTGCTGAGTTTGGCTGTTCATGGTAGAAATGTATAGCAGAGTAGGTCTGAATCAGAAGAAAAACGTACTTTCTAAGATGCATTAGATGACCCCTTGCTCTACTCCTTGAAAAGCCATGCTTTCATTAAGCATAATATATTGCATACACAATATGAACTTTTTCAATTAAGCTGTGCAAAGAAAACTAATGAGATACACAATATAGTTGCCTAATGTATAGCAAGCCATCATATTTAAAGTATTTTAATCATACCAGTAAAAGAGGAAGGGCCCCTACACATCAGTGTGGTGCACTGGAACACACACGTTATGTTGCACACTAATATTAATTGCATTAGGGCAGCCCATTCATTTTTTATTGCACCATGACCATGAAAAAGGAGATGCTCCATAACATTTTGGGACTTTAGCAGGAAACATCAGGTTCTAGACAAAGTGGTAGCTAGGGGTGCAGCTCACAAACAACAGTTGCATATACGGTATCCTAATACAGAAGATGTTTATGGATGTTTTTACCTGGAGTTCTCTTTTAATTTTCATATTAGCTGCTCTCCAATTGCAAAGAAAGTAAAGGTGTTAGCTTATTTTTAGGAATTTGAAATCATGTCAGTTTGAAATGATGCCTTGCTTTGTATTGCCCAAATAACAGATGTTCTATAACACCATTCATGTATGATATATCAGTATACAGTGAATCTGAGGGGAAAGCTACTAAGCTACCACTTAGGATAGCATCCGTTTCTTAAATCCTGCTCAGAGCCTAAAGGGAATAAGTAAATTGCATCCCCTGCACTCTACATTTACAATACCCAGGCATGTTTATTGGTCTTTCAGTCTCTTCAAGGTGCACAGTGTGATGGAGGCAGAAGGCATGCAAATTCTCCATAAACACACAGCAAGAGCTGCTCTCAGCAGTTTCAGAGTGGTGATTGTTAAGGTGAATGATGTTTGATGACAACGTTATGCTAGTGTCATGCTGGAGTTTTACTAAAACATTTCCAGCATTTAAAGTAATATGGTCACAATGCTACACTTTTCAAATAAATGCATACCTGTCAAGGAACAGTTTATATACTTAGCTTTACTGCTGCCGATCCAAAGAAATCTACTGCTGAATTCTGCAAGGAGTGACAGTTTTCTGGGTCCAGCACAGGTCAGGTGCTTTGCTTTACCAAATCACAACACAGTGCACCATGAGAGCCATGATTGGGCAAAGTATTAATGACTTTGTCCAATCATACCTCACACAGCTAAGTCCTGTCAGGTGGCGGATGAATTAAACAGTTGGGCGGAGCGAGCTAGCTGTCACCGCTAGCTCCACCCAATTGTTTATATTTTGTCGGCATCTGTCAGAATGCCGTTCTGCATCAAGAGTTCGTCGTGAGCTGACGGTCGGCGGGCGTCATTTAAAAAAAATATATTATTATTTCTATTTATTTATTTTTTATTTCGAGGCGTCCTCATCGCGGACAACGCTGGACGTCATGATTGTCCCTAGGATTACGTCGGTGGATCCATTTTTTTTTTGGGGGGGCGGGTTGTTAATAAAAGACTTCTCAAAAACATGTCTTTTTTTTTCAAAAGTCTGCTGTTTTTATTTAAAATGTAGTGAATGGTTAGGGGTACAAGTACGCTGTACTTATTCACAATGGGGGGCCGCATCTGGGTGCTCCTTACTTAAAGGGGTACCCTGATGTGAATACTTTACAGGCAGTTTAAGGGGACCCCCCAGGCACAATATTTAAAGGAACTTTTCATTTTTATTGTTTCACTTTAAGCAATGTAAAATCACTGCTCCTTTAAAATCTGTATTTAAAAAAAACAAAAAACTTTTTATTGATACATGTCCCCAGGCAGTACCCAAATCCCCATACCCTTTTTATGGCCAATAACTTGCATACGAGGCTTCAAAGTGCCTAAGAACTTGTGGCAGGTGGCACCGGCAGGGTCAGGGTGCTGGATTTTGAATGAATAGCTGTCATCAGAGGCTTGTCAACTGCTGATGACAGCTATTAATTTACAGAGAACCATCAGGGGAAGCCTTCTACTATAAGCTTATGGTTGCTGAAGCGTCTATGTGCTTATAGTAGAAGTCTGAATGTCAGCAACATAAGAAATACTGAGCTGGCCAGCTGGAAACTTTCTTGTTCCGCCGTATGCCTTAGGTTGTTGGCAGAGAAAGGGTTAATGCTATGTTGTAGGACAGTTCTATGCACCTACTTGCTGAAGCAACTTAGCTCTGTGAAGACTTACGCCTCTTGTGGTGGACAATTTTAATTACTAAATAACATGAATAAGACCAGAGATCTTTTTGACATAGTCTAATGGCTTATAGGATATTCAGAGGTTCCAGTGGTCTACCACAGTGTTTATATGGCTACGTAATCTAATAAACAAATGTCATATATGTATGCCCAGTGAGCAGTTGATAAACAAGGATTGTTTGCCTTTCTAGGATGTTGTATATATGACTGAACTGGTTTGAAGTATGTAATGGATTTCTCAAAGTTGGTATATTATCATAGACAATCATATGCATACCAAATCATACACAGAGGGACCAACCAAATCACCATATGCAGTATAATTGTCTGGAATGGTTTTACTAAAGAAACTGCAACTATAAAAAGTTGTTTAAATATTTTTAAGAAATATATTGCAATCAAGTACATGCTGCATAATTTCAAACACGTTTAAAAGTTAGTTCTATCATATGGATTTCTTTTTCAGGTAATGGAGGTTATAAAAAATATTAGAGAGTATACACATTGTAAAGTTAATTAAATAAGAATTTACTAACCAGGCAATACCCAAGAGCTCATCATCTGATTGGATGAGCTGTTTTCAACCTCTTAGAACATACAATGAAATCACATCCCATCTGTCAGAACAAATTGTGCAAGTGCCTTTTAATCTCAATCTGTCCTCTTATGTTTCTGCGCAAATGGCTGCCAATTACCATTCTATCCAATTTGTAAGTGGCTATATTCTGACAAATGCAATAAAATCTGCTGTGAACGCTAGCTATTACACCTTCAGGTGTTTCATCAGTATACAATACAGGACACATAGGGGTCTATTCACAAAGCTGCCGAGGGCAGCCGAGTGAATGAACGATCAGAAGTGAAGTGAGCCGAACACCGTTCGGCTATTCACTTCAGGCTGGTACGGCTGATTTCAGCCGTATATCGGCTGAAATCAGCCGTACATCGGCTTGCTTCGTGTGGCTTCGGATCAGCCGAACATGCTGAGCATGTTCGGCTGATCCGAAGCCACACGAAGCAAGCCGATGTACGGCTGATTTCAGCCGTATATCGGCTGAAATCAGCCGTACATCGGCTTGCTTCGTGTGGCTTCGGATCAGCCGAACATGCTGAGCATGTTCGGCTGATCCGAAGCCACACGAAGCAAGCCGATGTACGGCTGATTTCAGCCGTATATCGGCTGAAATCAGCCGTACATCGGCTTGCTTCGTGTGGCTTCGGATCAGCCGAACATGCTGAGCATGTTCGGCTGATCCGAAGCCACACGAAGCAAGCCGATGTACGGCTGATTTCAGCCGTATATCGGCTGAAATCAGCCGTACATCGGCTTGCTTCGTGTGGCTTCGGATCAGCCGAACATGCTGAGCATGTTCGGCTGATCCGAAGCCACACGAAGCAAGCCGATGTACGGCTGATTTCAGCCGTATATCGGCTGAAATCAGCCGTACATCGGCTTGCTTCGTGTGGCTTCGGATCAGCCGAACATGCTGAGCATGTTCGGCTGATCCGAAGCCACACGAAGCAAGCCGATGTACGGCTGATTTCAGCCGTATATCGGCTGAAATCAGCCGTACATCGGCTTGCTTCGTGTGGCTTCGGATCAGCCGAACATGCTGAGCATGTTCGGCTGATCCGAAGCCACACGAAGCAAGCCGATGTACGGCTGATTTCAGCCGTATATCGGCTGAAATCAGCCGTACATCGGCTTGCTTCGTGTGGCTTCGGATCAGCCGAACATGCTGAGCATGTTCGGCTGATCCGAAGCCACACGAAGCAAGCCGATGTACGGCTGATTTCAGCCGTATATCGGCT